CATTCAAGACAAGGAAAGCAAGGAAGAGTCCATTCTGGCCATGCTGGGAATCATTGGGACGATCCTCAACCTCGTCGTCATCATCTTCGTCTACGTCTACACCACCCTGTGAGATCCACTGGAACTCTGATTGGCAGTGAGATTCTGGCACGGAAAAACCAGGCTTGTTCCACCAGGGGATCATGGGAATACAGACACTGCTGCGACGGAGTCACACATCCAGAGGGAAAAACACGGAGAACAGATTCCCTTCAAACACAGACTACATAAGGAACTACATAGGCTGTAAATATGCACGTTATTTCCATATTCCCATCCGTTTCCGGCAGGCAGCCGTCCCGGATCCAGAGACCCAGGAGCGTTTCTATGCATGGCTCAGTCCACCGGACGTTCTCATTCAGATCCATCAGTGGTTTTTAATAGTAAACATGCTGTGACGTTTCTTACAAACTCCTGCAGGCGACAGTTTCAGGTTTCTACTGTATTTAAAACACTGCTGTTTACAATAAATTGCTTATTATTAGACCTGAGCTTTAAAATAGACTGAATTTTGTCATGAGCATTTTAATACATACAGTACATATGTACAGCATTCAGTAGTTCGGCTGTAAAACGTGTCATTTGGCTAGTTTTGCGGTGCATTTAATTGAATTAATTAATTAGTTATTTTTGTGCGATGCTTATTTGCAGATCTTGTTCAGTATCGTTTTGTGCGGGTTAAAGCCGTTTTAGGACAAAGGTGTTTCTTATGTATGTTAATTTTAAATATTTAACTCCCATTGTTTTGAATGAGAGAAATCTTTGTTTACTCAAACAGACAGACTGTTCATCATACGTACAGACAGTGTTGCCTTAAGAATTATCCACACGTTCATATCTGCATCATTTCAGAAAATATTTAGTTGCTTATCGATGCACAGAAGCATAAAAGGCCACAAAAGCATATTATTTTATAAATGAAAGAAAACAGTTTTTTTGTTTGTTTTTTTCTATATTTTGCCCTAATACCAACATGAGACTGTACTAATGTTAATAAAAGCACAAGAATATGTGCAGAATGAATGAATGTATATTATGTGAGTAAAGTAAATTTCTGATAATGCGACAAAGCATATGAAATCCAGTTGTCAGTGCATAAAGTGCCTGTGTTTCTGCAAGATATTCTCTAGCCTCTCTGTTTCAGTAATCTCACTGTATATTATTAATATGACGAGTCTAATAGTCTTACAGTAACAGTGGTTTTCCGATCTAACAAAGTTAATAATGGCAGCAGGAGATGAGAATGGCGTTTTATGGCTGATCATCAGATTTTAAAGGAGCACATTCATTGACAGACTCTCTTGGTTGTGTGGTCATGTTATCATGTTAATATTGAATTTTAGTTGACTTTAATTTCATATCTATGGGGACAGAATGGTTCACTGTTACAGTAATACTCCTTTGTACATGGGCGATCTTGTCTAAAACTCTTTTATGTATTTAAACATGTAATATTGCTACTGCTGATTTAGTAAAGATTAATAAAATTATTGAAAAATGTTCTTAAGTAAATTGGCTTGCTCGTTTCTTTATCAAACTGGATTTTGACAGAGTCAAACACCATCTGGTTTTATTCAACTTTTTCTGTAAATCCACTGTACGGATCGGCTGTAGCTAACTGCATTTTGTGTAATTATGGGATGGACGTTATGCACGGTTGCCTAGCGACAAGTAGTTTATAGAGCAATTTCCAAAAGTTGAGTCCTGTTTGAGTTCAAGGACTCGACTTCTGAACGTTTCAATGCAAAGATGAAGTCATTAAAGTTGTGCGACTTATGTGACTGTCAAATCTAAAATCTAATTTAAAGAATGGACCACAACAAACCACTTCATGTCATACGTGTGTCAATTAGGGATTTTTAAAAGTGTGCTGGAACAAAGCTTTTCAGAGAAAGACAGACAGACAGAGGCGAGAGATCTAAAACACAGCGGAACGTCTCTCAAGAAGTGAAATGATGCAGTCGAGCGAGTAAACAATGCGTTTTGAAGATTCACAGCTGCAGAAATACAAATGAGCCCAGGAGCCTTTTTCTCAGGCTTTGCTTTACCTGGATAAAGAGCATCCAGATGCTAAACAGACAGAAAACCTTCAGAGTCCTCATTCTGCAGAGGCTTGCTCAATAAACAACTGTTATCGTGAACAAACAACTGAATCAAAAACTAGTTTCTGCAAGACTTTCACACATAAAACACAACTTTTAGGCTACAAATACAATATAGATATATAAATATTAGGCTATAATTTTTAATACATCATATTATTCAAACGGTGCCAGTAGTAATGCTCTATTTCTAGGCTTACGATGCTTTTGGGAAACACAGCCCTGATTGATTCAGTTCAGCAAACAATTTGACAGGCTGATTCAAAATGGTAAATGATTCATTCGGGAATCAGACTACATTGGTCGCACCTTTTGATTCACTAAAAGAACCGGACTACGCCGTTCACGTGAAAGAACTCAACAGAAAACGCCACTGCTGAAACTTTGAATCGGATATAACTGAAAAATGACTCGAGGTTCAATGAGAGTTGTGAACTTAATTATGGCTATGGACAATTCACAGACTGAAACCACTGAATCAGGAGCGGGTTTGAGGCTGTTTCATGAATTGTTTTGACTGACCCGTTAAAAAGAACTAGTTCATAAGAGTCATTTTTCAGAAATTGGACAATACGGAATGCGTTTTGTTCAATGTCATGTGCAGAAAATGCTGTCACTTTCAAACGAGATGATGACGATAGCATATAAATTAACAAATAAAAAGGTAATTGTGAGTTTATCTCACAATTTTTTATTTAAAAAAAATATATATAAAAAGGTAATTGCAGCTTTTTATCTCACAATTCTGACTTTTTCCTTGCATTTGCCAGTTCATATATATGACCC